CTTTATTGACTAAGGTTGTTATAGAACTCTAGTTTTAATTAAAGCAAAAAATAAAACTGCAAGTAGCAGCAGTATTTAAGACAAGGGGAAAGAAGCTGCCCCTTGCCCCCCAAAAAGTTATTAATGGCTTTCACTCATAATAGTTTCCAGTATGAGATTAAACATTAATCTGAAAGTAGGTGATTAGATGTCCTATAATTTAAAAAATTGAAAGCAATTGTGGCTACTTAAGAATGAAATTAACTTCCTGTTATGTGCCTGAACTGTTGCCAACTGAAGTCAATCAGAAGTCTCCAGTTGATTTCAGTGGAGCTGAATGAGGCTTTGAGCTTGAATTTTTTTAATACAGCATTTCTCCCTCTTCAGTTTCGTAATGAGAAACTGATCTGCCTGAAATTTCACATGCGTTATCTAATCCTCAAATAGTGCTCTTCTGAAAAATTAAGGAGTTTTAAAAGTATATGTTAAGTGTACAAAGTGATGTTTAAGCTATCAGCATACATATGTATAAACACAGACCTGCTGAGTACAGCTGGATGCTACAGCAACTGTTGGATTGAGCCAGAAGTGGGAGAGTTGTACACTTGGGGGTTATGAAATAAGGAAATTATTCAAGAGAGGAGGATGTAGACAAAGTTGTGGATTGGAGAGCAGGACATAGGAGCACGATGCCCAATCTGCAAACTGAGGAAGGCTATGATGGTTTTGTCAGTAGGATACTTGCTAACAGAAGCACAAATTGGGACATGAAAGCACAGAGGACAAAGAATGACAACTGCAAGATGATTGAAAAGGATGCTGCCATCATAGAAAAATAGAATCAAACATTTTTCTCTGAGTAGACAACAATGGGAAGATAAGTTGCCTCGTACCTCTAGGCACAGGAGATTTTAAGTACAGTATAAGTTTGAGCAATTCTGCAGAAGGCCCATAGGATCTATTGAGGCAAAGTTCCACACAATTTACACTTCTGTTTATTAAAAAAACAAAAAATAGTAGAGAGATTTCAAGAAAGTATTTTATTTAGCAGAGTTAATGTTCAAACTATTTTGATGGAGTTAAGCTAGCTCTAAAAATATGTAATACTAAAGAACAATACCAAATAAATCTTTCAACTCTTTTTTTTTTTTTTGGTCATTTAAATCAGTTTTGGGGGTGGGGATGAGTTCAGTATGGATGCTGCCCTGAGGAAAGACCATCACATCAGCAGCTAGGGACTAAGTGAAAAGTGCCTCACCAATGCAGTTCCAGTGGGCACAGCCAGGGGAGAAATGCATTTTCTCTGGCTGGGATAGGTCCAGGCTCATCTGCTCCCTGCATCCTCCAGCCAGAGTGAGGAATGCAGCAAATTGTGCGCTTTTCCCACACTCCCTTACGAAGGGGAAGAGCCAGCAATGTTCCTGTATGAAAAGGGGAAGGGGGAAGCTTCAGTTCCCCCTCCCCTGTCCCTAAAGAGCATCTGGGTGGGGTGCCCCAAACCAGCCCCTTTCACCTACCTGGTGATTTTGTGTCTCTTCTGTATGGTTTTATGAGAAGCAATGCCATTCCAGGTAAATACATACTTTCCCGGCACAACCAAACCCTTACCTTGCTTTAAGTTTTAGGAGTTAGCTATATACTACATCAAAGTATTTGTGCAAGAAGCACTGATTTTGTACATTACAAAGTCAGTGTTCTTGCGCAAATTCTCACGGCCAGTGTAGACAGGTGGCAAGTTTTTGTACAAAATCAGTGCTGCTTGCACAAATACTTTGATGCTCCCGCTCAGGCACAAGCCCTCTTGTGCAAGAATACTTGTGCAAGAGGGACAGTGTAGACAGGAACGTTAATTTCTTGCGCAAGAAAGCCTGATGGCTAAAATGGCAATCGGAGCTTTCTTGCGCAAGAGAGCATCTACACTGGCACGGATGCTTTTGCGCAAAAGCAAATCTTTTGCGCAAAGGCACATGCCAGTCTAGACGCTCTCTTGCGCAAATACTTTTAACTGAAAAACTTTTCCGTTAAAAGTATTTGCGCGAAATCATGCCAGTCTAGACGCAGCCCAAATAGTCTAGTAGCACCTTAAAGACTAACAAAACACAGGGACGGTATCATAAGCTTTCGTGGGCATAAGCCACTTCTTCAGAGTTCTTGAACAGACAGACTTGGACAAACTCTCTCAAATTTATTATATAATTGATTGTACAGGTTTTTATAATGAAGAAAGTGCTTAACTTTTCCCCATGTCCACCGAGAGTAGAAGTAGTAAATATTAGTTTGTAGCAAGGAATAGTTAGGTTAGTGTGATGGGCCGAGCCCATCCCTGACCCCGCTCAAGAGCGCGCCCGCAGCCGGCGATGCAGGGCGAGACCGGTGCAGCCTCCTCTGCAGCTGCTGTGTATGCACCCTCCTCCAGGCGCAGCGCTCAAATCTGGCGCCGGCTCAGCTGAAAGGGAGGAGCGCTGAGGCCGGCAGACGGCCACAAGGTGAGGGCGGAGCCGATGCAGGAGAGGAAAAGGACGCCCGGACCGGCACACAGAGGGGGGAGGAGGCGGTGGCAGGCTCTGAGCCGGGTGAGGACACCGGGACCGGTGTGAGGGCGACCAAGGGCGCCAGAACCTCCGCAGACTCCGGGAAGGACGCCGAAGCTGCGACCCAGGCAGGTAGGCACATGGGGGACCCCGCGTCGGGGGAGACGAGCCACCAGACCGGGCCAGGACCTTACAATGCTGCCAACCACGGGGGACCCTCACACGAGGAAAAACACAGGTCAGAGACTCGGGTCGCGGCAACGCCATCCCAGGGGCGAAGATCCCGAAGACAGAGCGTATAGGCCACGTAGGAAGCGGGCCCAGGAAGGCAGGTAGGCACATGGGGGACCCCGCGTCGGGGGAGACGAGCCACCAGACCGGGCCAGGACCTTACAATGCTGCCAACCACGGGGGACCCTCACACGAGGAAAAACACAGGTCAGAGACTCGGGTCGCGGCAACGCCATCCCAGGGGCGAAGATCCCGAAGACAGAGCGTATAGGCCACGTAGGAAGCGGGCCCAGGACGGGGACTGTGACTCGCTATTCGGGTAGGGGCTCGCAGGCTTTACCCTAAGGGTCCTGGGACCGGAGTGCAGGAGGGCCCGAGTTCCACTACTTCAACCCAACGTCCTGTGTTGTGACGCCATGGATAGCCCTCCAGAAGGACTTAAGCCTGGGGGCAGGGAGAAGCGTCCGACGGTGCATGGACTATAATTCAGGTCAGAGACTCTGTAGAGGCCTGAAGGTGAGGGGTCCGTGCCATGGACCTGATCTGAGTGCACAGGGCCCCTCCCAGCCCCTAAGGGAGAGGCCTAGAATAAACTAGGAGCGGGGGCTCTGTGAATCCAACGTGAGCATCCCCGTCCCCACAACCCCATGGTATGGTGGGAAAAGGGGGGAGGGAGTTGAGCCTTGACAGTTAGATATTAGGAATATCCTTCTAATTTTATGGATAATTAAGATGAACAGGTTACATGGGGAAATTGTGAATGTCTTGTTATTGAAGGTTTTTAAAAACAGACAAACATGTCAGGCAAGGTCTAGGTATACTCATCCCTTTATTACTGTGGGGGACCAGATTCAATGACCGCTTGAGACCCATTCTAACACTACATTTCTATGATTAACATACTCATGATAACGGAAAATGATGACTCCTGGATAAAGCCACTGAACATATGAAATCACAACAGTCAATAGAGAGTTAGGTCTGATGAAACCTGCTGCTCACATAGGTTTCACCATCATATGAGTATGCTCCTAGCACAGTAGCCCTCCAAGGTAGGGCCTGTTGTTTTGGCCACAATGAAATATGACACTACTCTAAATGGTAGACCACGATAGCTGTGATCTGTCACATTTGCAGTTTGCCCCTCCACCATCACCACCTGATAGTGCCTGTAGCAATACAGTACAACATGTGAGGGTCTTCACACTCTTGGCTCATATTCAGCTTGCAGTCCACTCTGATATCCAGATCCCGTTCCACAGTACTCCTTCCTAGGCAACCATTTCCCAATTTGTATATGTGCAGCTAACTGTTCCTTCCTAAGTGGAGTACTTTGCATTTGTCTTTATTGAATCTCATCCTATTTACCACCATTTCTCCAGTTGTCCAAATCATTTTGGCACATGCAGTGTGGGGACCTACCCGCATTACAGTTCACACTGCCTAGTTGCTAATCCTCTAAGATGGGTTCTGTATCACCAGGAACTACATATTATGCCTTGGGATTAAATTTGTCCACCCAAAATTGGCAATACTAGCACCGAAGGCTGGGCTCTGTCCCTGCTTCAGGCTGAGTGCCCTTGGCAATGCAGCCTGGCATGCTGTCTCTTGTGTGGATTGCACCGCCTCTGGTGATGCAGACCAGCATCCATGGACCACACCCTCCACAGATTGCCCCGCGCCCCAGACGAGCAATGGCAAGGTGCATGGCTGTAGGTTTCCCATAACTTCCTCCAGGGTTCACTTCTGCTTGCCTCTACTCCTGGGCGTAAGGCTGTCCCTCAAAACGCCTGTCTGTAATGCCAAAGTCCTTCGAGGGAGGCTGCATTTTTTTAATGCAGGAATGTGCATCATGGAGCCGCAAAACTGCAGCTTGTGAAAATAGCTCACGTCGCTTTGGTCTTTGGGGGGGAAAAAAATCAGGCGCTTGGCGTGGTCAGCCGCTCAGAGCTCGCGAGGACCTCGCCGCGCCAGGGCAGGTAGGTCCCTCAGGCACAGGCGGCGGGGTTCGCTCTCCCCTCCCCCGCCTGTGCTCGGCTGGAGTCGGGTTAGTCAAACAGCTGGGTGGGAGAGGGGCTAAAATGGGGATACCCTGAAAAACCTGCCTTCCCCCGCCTCCGCGAATGGACCGATCCAAATCCCGCTGCCTCAACGGCGAGGGCGGGACTAACTGCGTGATGAAGGGTGAGGAGCGAGGACGCACTTGCCCCTCACACTCCGTGTCACCCTCCGCGAGAGAATAAATCGATCCACGTCCCTATGTTCTGCGGGGAGAGGACGGTACCATTTCCTTGGCGTGGGGGGGGGAGGGGCTTCGCGCTGCTGCTTTTCACCCAGGGGTGCGGAACTGAGTCTCCATCGTCCGCCTGCTTCCTTTCCCTGTCAGGGGTGTCCGGTCCGCGAGAAGTTGGCGGGGCACTGAGTGGTGTGGGGATTGCAGGCGCCACCCCTTAGGGGGCGGGGCTCCACCACGAGGCCCCGCCCCGCCTTCCTGTCTCCGCCCATGTGGGATCTTCCCCGCGGGCTCTGATTTCCCACAATGCAGTGGGGAGGCCTGGTGGGGGGTGGTCTTGGCAACACGCCCCAGGGGCGCATGAAGGAGATGCCTGAGCATTGGCTCAGTGTGATGCTGAGTGGCCCACTCACCTGGGGCTCTGGCTCGCTGGTGCCTGTATAAACAGGCTTTTCTGAATGCTAATCCTCACTCTTGGCAGAGGATGTACCGTGGAAAGGGCCGTCTTGTGCACAGCGCCCTTCAAGGTGCATAGGGCGGATGTTGCGTCTTCTCCAGTCTATTATAGTAAGCCCCCTGCTGTGTAAGTCAGTGAGCATTGATGTCCCCCTTGCTGCCTCTATCTCAGAGGGAGCAGGAGGGAGGGAAGCAGGAGCTGGTGCTGGGGGAAGCTGGTTCCCCCCAGCACTGTCTCTGCTGCCCTCCTCCCCGCTGCCTCTGTCAGAGACAGTGGGGGGAGGGTGGCTAGGGAGGCTACTTTGGCAGCAGCCCCCTGGCTGCAAGGGTCCCAGCAGGGAGTTGGGCCCCTCCCCCCACATTCAGGGGCTGCTGTCCGTGAAGCCCCCTCCCTGGACAGAGGCTGCTGCTGCGAAGCAGCCCCTGTTCGCAGCCAGGTGCTGCAGACTACTAGCTGGGCAGACAGCCCTGCTCAGTACCAGCTTGCACTGGGACTAAACCCTGCTGCTGCTCTGCAATTTAAAAGGAAGTAGGTGCTGGGCAGCTTGCCCCTTGGCTCTTATGGTGTTTTAAATTGCAGAGCCGCAGCTTTGGTCACCGACCTGGCGCGAGCAGGGACAGAGCTGGCCTGCCTGCCAGCCTGGTTCATGCTAAATTTAGGAGCTGGGTGGACAGTCCCTGTTTGTGCTGTTTCAGCAATTTAAAACACAGTAGCAGCTGGGCGCAGGCTACCCAGCTCCTACTGCCTTTTAAATTGTAGAACCACAGTGGGGTTTGGGCCTGGCGCAAGCCGGGAGTGACCTGGGCTGCCTTCCACTGTCGAGTAATTGATAAAAATTCTATCGATTACTTGATAACTAAAATAATCTAAATTTAGCATCCCTGATTGATGCCTGGATTTCAAATGCCATAGGATTGACTGGATTTTGAAACTTATTGTTAAATCACTCTACTTTTAGGTTACATTGAAAGGAGTTCTGTATATAACCCAGTTTATTAATTATGGGGAAAGCTTTCTGTCTGAGCACAGCCTGAGTAAATGGGATGCATACAGAGGAGTTAACAGGGATCAAAGGTGAGGGGGAGGGAAAGGTATTTCCTCCCTCTCATCAGGTTCTGGAGTGGCAGCATAGCCACTGTCTTTTAAGAGCTGCTGTTCATATGGCATGAGATATGGCTTATCAATTCATGTAATTACACTGGCAGATCCACCAATCTGCTTTTCTGTCTCCCTCAAAACCTCCTGTGCTAGGATTGTAGGGCCTCATGGAAAACAACTCTTTGGCACTTAGGTAGTGTGAAGTCATGCTAGTTCCAGTGTATTCAGGAACATTCGTGGCCTTAATTTGGGTCAGAGGATCTTACCCTTCGAGAAAGTCTTGAGTTACCCCCAGATGCCTGCTTTATAATGAAACTGCCAAAGCTCCCTAACTAGCTTTGCCAGTGTAATCCTTTATCAGCTTTTCATCATTGCAGTTCAGCCTTGGCCTTCCTAGTATCAGACTTATTTTTAAGATAGCATCCAGGAAGATTAAGCATATCTACCAGTGTGTATTAAAGAAAATTTAGGCAGATCATAAAATCATCTGTAGAGTTTACTTTGTACCTTAGATGACAGGCTCATTACTGATTTGGTCTCAGTTAAACATAAACGAGAGAATTTTTAGCCATCCAGATAGCAGCCCTTAAACAAAAAGCACCTGATTTCCATTTTTAGCAGGTTGGAGAAAATACCAATCAGGTACGTATTTTTTTTTTAACACTGCTGTTTATTTTCTATATAAAGAGGCCCATTTAATATTATGAGTAATGTTCTGAGGACTATCCGACATGGCACAAATGAGATGCCTAACAGCATTCCTTGTTTTTATTGTCCATTGTCTCCTAACTAGGTTTTTTGTTTGTTTCATTTGGTTTTTTCCCCCCTGCATGAAGGATGGCAGCGCGGCGCGTGTTGAAAGCAGTCTTGGTTGATCTCAGTGGCACACTTCACATTGAGGACTCAGCTGTGCCGGGTTCTCAGGAAGCTCTTAAAAGGCAAGTTCTCTTTCATGTTCCTCTGAAAGACAAAAATGCATGCAAGTCTGTTTTTATACAGATATCTCATTAGCTGAATGGGTGTCCTGAAGCTTGTGCCTCAGAATTGTATTCATACAGGATCTTTTGAAAAAGTGGGGGTTTTTTTCCCCCAAAAGAACAGTGTTCAAATGGCGGTTTTACTTTTGAAAAGCCCTTTTTCAAAAGACTGTGTGGCCATCATTATGCAAATGAAGTGCGGGAAATTCAAATCCCAGCTTTATTTGCAATTTCGATCTGTCTAGACATCCCTCTTTCGAAAGAGGGATGTAAATTAAACTACATCCCTAAGTTACATTGGGCTGGCTCCATAGTAACTTCACTGAAGTCACTGGAATTACAATGGTACACATCTAGGCTATGTCTACACCTGCAGTTTCTTGTGCAAGAAATATGCAAATGAGGATGTGTGGAATATCGCCAAACCTGATTTGCATACCTAATGAGCTGCCATTTTGCAGCAGAGGCTCTTGTGCCAGAAGGAGTTGTCTACACTGCCCCTTCTTGCACAAGAAAAATGCTCTTGCACAATGCCATTATTCCTGAAAATAATCAGCGTAGTGGCATTGCGCAAGAGGGTTTTTCTTGCACAAGGAGGGGCAGTGTAGACAGCTCCTTCTGGTGCAAGAGCCTCTGCTGCAAAAATGGCGACTCACTAGGTATGCAAATGAGGCTCTGCGATATTCCACGCTTAGCCTCATTTGCATATTTCTTACTCAAGAAGCTGCAAATGTAGACATAGCTTTAGAGTAGATTTTGGCTCATAGGGTAATCTCTGGGGAGCTTGCATTTAATTTGGCCTTTCTGCTTATTTTTTGTTTCATTGTATTATCTCTCTTTAAAAACTTGTACTGCAAAGAACAAAAGGCCAACTCTTCAGCAAATTAATTTACCATGCTATGGAAAAGTTAGATAATACAGCCATTGTTTTCTGAGAATGCTAGAATGTTAATGAATCCTCCCAACACTCCTGATAGACAGTATCATTATCCCAAGCACTCAGATGGGTGAGCTATAAAAAACCCTCTGTAAAGTTAGTGTTATAGCCACGTTGATCTTAAGATATCAGAGACAGGATGAGTGAGGTAGTATTCTTTTATTGGATCAACTTTTGGTGAAAGAGACAAGCTTGTGAGCAACACAGAGCTCTTAGTCAGCTCTTTTAGTGAGGTATATGCTCTCTGTTCTTACTCTAATGACCTGGAGGTAGGAATAGAGAGTGTACTGATCAAATCTGAAGATAATGCAAAGCCAGAGGGGTTGAAAATGCTTTGGAACATACAGCTAAACTTAAACGTTATCTTGATCAATTGGACCCCTTAAATAGCATTCAAGCCCATATGTGTCCATTCCTCCTGCGGTCTTTCCCAACCGTCCAGAGTGTTGAGCCAAGCCTCTAACCAGGCCTCTCTCTCTGGACAGTATGGCCTAGAAGCCGGACTCTATAACAACAATCTTCTCTCTATGGGCAGTGTGGATTTGCAGCCAGAATCAATAACAATGGATGTAGTTCCCCATGTGGGGTTGGTGAGAGTGAGGTAGGAGGACCTGGGCCCAACTTCTCCTTCAGGTCCCAGCCCAGGGCCCTGTCAGCAACGGAATGCACCACTACTAGCTTAGCAGGGACTCCTAAAAATACATGCTGAGTTCCCAGGGTACAGCTCCTCGTCCTGGGCTGTTTCCTACCCATCTCTGCCATGCAGTCTTCTCTGGCCCTTCCTTCCAGACTGAGGGTTCTCTTGCAGTTCCCTACTGATTAGCCTCCATGGCTTGGTCTGTTGTTGGCATCTCCTTCCCCAGTGGCAGTCATCCCTGACTGAGCAGCCCTTTATACCTGGCCTCCAGCTGGAGCATGCCCAATAGGGCTGTAGGGGTGGGGTCACCTAGGCCAGGTGAGCCAGATTAACCCTTTCTGCCCAGTGTGGGGTTGGTACATCCCATCACGCAGCATCACAGATGCAATACTCTGCTATGTGTCCTATCACCCTTTAGAGGCTGCCCATACAGAGAATGAAAACGCTGTAGCTACTGGCACATTAGTCCTTTAGATCCAGTGGAAGAGGTTATTTTTCTATTGAGCACTCTCGTTTTGTTGGACAGTGGGCTTAAGACTGATTATTAATCAAACTGAATGAAAAACAAAAAATAAACAAGCTAAATGATAGGAGGTTAACCAGCTGTTTGCAGTTCTCTTGGCATCAATAATGTAACATGCATCAAGGGAAGGGGATTGACTTTTAAGAGATTGCTTATATACAGGTTGACCTCCCTGGCTCAGCACCCTTGGGACCTGTCCCAAACAAGGGAGTTTGCCAGACCAGGGGAGGTCAACACTGGCCACCCTGCACTTGGCCTGGATGGGCTCCTACTCCTGCTGTCACCACCCTGACAGGCTCCCAACCCCTGCAGGACTGCCAGCCTGTTGCTTCCACCCCGGCAGGGCTGCCAGCCCGCAGCTGTCTACCTGGCTGAGGTCCTGGCTGCACTGTCACCACCCCTCCTATATCCCAGCCCTGGCAGGGCTCCCAGTTGCTTGTCCTCCTGCCGCCAGACTCCTGCCTGCTGAAGCTTTTCTGCCCAGGAACATACGTGGTCCAGCAGGATGTAGCCGGACTAGAGAGTCCCAGTTTAGAGAGGTTCAACTAGTATTGAGTGTTCCTTGGAGGAATGAAGATAATCAGTGGGACTCAGTAATACCAGGATACAACATATATTGGAAGCACAGAACAGGTCATGCTGGTGGGAGAGTGGCACTGTATGTGAAAGAAAGCATAAACTCAAGTGAAGTAAAAATCATAAATGAACCAAACTGTACCATAGAATCTCTATGGATAGTAATTCAGTGCTCTGATAATAAGACTATAGCAGTATTATCAACCTGAACAGGTTGGTGATAGTGATTGTGACATGCTCAGGGAGACTAGAGCAGCTATAAAAATAAAAAAATCAATAATGCGGATTTCAGTTACCCCTTTATTGACTGTGTACATGTTATCCCAGGATGGGATGCAGAGATAAAGTTTCTTGATGCCTCAAATGACTGCTTCTTGGCATAACTAGCCCATGAACTAGGGATGTAAAATAGTGGCTAGGAAGCTAATCAAATAGTTGATAGAATTTCCATTCACTACTCAGTTAGTCAATTAGGGGGCTCGCTGTGGCTCTGCTTTTAAAATGTAGTAAGACTGGTGGCTTGCACCATTTCCCCCATGTGCCTTTGCTTTCCCTTCCCCCAGCAGAGACAGTGCTGGGAGGAACCAGCTTTTAAGGCAGCAAGTGGGGGGAGCTACTAGTTGAGTAGTGACTCGACTACTGGATAAGCCTAGGCTTATCGGATAGTCGACTAGTCATTCACATCCCTACTGGGAACCCCCAAGAGGAAAGGCAATTCTTGATTTAGTCCTAAGAGAAGCCTAGGATCTGATCCGAGAGGTGAATCTCACTGGACCATTTGGGAACATTGATCATAATATAATTAGATTTAACACCCCTGTGGTGGGGAAAACATTACAACACTGTAGCATTTAATTTCAGAAAGGGGGTGTCATAATCAGGTGTGGTGACCAAAACCTGGGGACTAAGAGGTTAACTATGTCTCCTGTCCCCAGCCAGGTATCTGGTCAGCCAAGAGCAGGTTGGGATTTCAAACGGACAAAGGAATATTTATCTTTTCCCTCCTTTGTCTGGGTAAGAGTGGTTTCTTCCAAGTAACAGGGAAATGGGAGGTACGTTTCTCTAAGAGAAAAGACTTCTCACAATGTGTAAATAGGGCAAAGTTTAGATAGTCTGTCAGGTTTTATTGTTTTATGGTTTGGGAATTTGGAATTGATGTCTGAGCTGTTAAAAGTGTTTTCTCTCTCTCTTGTAATAAAGGCTTTCTAACCCAGGGACTTTTTTCCCCCCTGAGTATCTAAATCCATTGGTGGCTCTCTTTCATCTAGCCACTTTATTATGCTTGCAACTGTAGTTTTGTTTTGATAATAAAAGTTTGTTTTCTTTTTCTAATTAATCACTATTGAGGGATTGTTGTGTCCTTTGACTCAGTTCCTAGGTATAAGGGCAGAGTCCATTACTGTCTGTGTTTTTCCAACTCCAAGTAGAACAGAGGTTGGGGCAGGGGAGAGTTTTACCTTAGGGAGGAAGTTTCCCAAGTGATTTCTTCCCTGATTTTTCATGGAATTACTTGGGTGGTGGGAGTGGATATTCTCCAAAATCCGGGTATTAGGATTTTGGGGGGAAATTTTTGTACCAAAGCCTGTAGAGATACGGCTTTGGGGTGCTTTTACAGGCCCTCACTTCTGCATTTGTCGTACCAGTGTGGGGAACAGCTTTGACAGGGGGACTATACAAAAAATGAGTAAAGTTAGTTAAAGAGAATGGGCGACAGGAAGAGTCAATAATTATCTGTTCTGTTGATCCCCTCTGGGGCACCTGGCATTGGCTACTCTCAGAAGTCGGGGATATTGGGCTAGATGGACCTTAGGTCTGACCTGGTATGGTTGTTCTTACGTTCTCTTTAAACTAGAAGGAAAATGGTGAAAGGCACATTAAAAATGTATGCAGTACGTAACAAAATTCTCCAATCAGCTCAGCTTTGCTTTCCCTTATTAGATTGCGCAGTGCTCCAGTTGCCATTAGATTTGTAACCAATACAACCAAAGAGAGCAAGAGAGACCTTCTGGAGAGGCTGAGAAAACTGGAATTTGACATAGCAGAAGATGAGATCTTCACATCTCTGACTGCAGCCAGAAACCTCTTGGAGCAAAAGCAGGTCCGGCCCTTGCTGCTGGTAGATGACAATGCTTTGCATGATTTCAGAGGTAAGAGGGTGAACAGCTAAACTTGGAGGCAGCTAAACTGATGAGTCTTACTGAAAGAGTATTAGCTGATAGAACTTTTACGATTGTCTGTTCCACGTGAATAGGTGAGATCCCCATCCCTATCATTTTAGATGTGCAGCTGAAATTTTCAGTTGTTAAAGAGCCTGCTGCCCTTTTGTAAGAGTAATTTATGTAATTGTCATTTTGACTAGGGATGTAACCGGTTAACCAGTGGCCCGCCGTGGGGTGGAGGCAAGGACTGTTCCAGCCCGACCAGGCCCACCACATCATAGGCATTCCAGCCCAGCCGGACCCACCATGCCACAGGCATTCCAGCCCGGCTGGGCAGGAGCAGCTCCCTGCCCACAGCACAGTGCAGCCGACCCAGCCTGAGCAGCCACCACCCTCAGCAGGCTCAGCCAGGTCTCGCCGGAGCAGTGTGTGGGGGGGGGGGCTGGCCCATCTGGAGCAGCCCCCGTGCCTGTACTAAACTAGGGGGGGCAGGTGCACTCCAGCAGGGCAATCCCTCTGCAGCCTCCCACCCGCGGGATCTTGGTAACTGGTGAAATGTAACATTTAACTGGTTAACTGATTAGACAGGATTTCACATCCCTGATTTTGACCACCTTTCTAGCTGAGGAATTGCATTTCGCCTACTTACAATAATCCTTAGAGAAGTTTATCTCATTGATTATCTTCCTTTCCTGCAGTGTTGCTGCACCCTTAAAATAGCTGTTGTGTTGTTTCCAGAGTATGGAGTGCCTGTTCTTTCTTTATTCAGATGCATGACCATCTTTACCCAATGCTATAAATTGACCTAGTGGTACTTTTCTGTGTCATTTGTGTGTGCATCTTGAGATATCATCAGCCTGTGCTACCAGGGGCTGAGACTAGGTGATTTTTTGTTTCAGAGCTGTCAGGGTTTGGAGGCAGTGTAGGGTTTGAAAGATAGTGGTGGGAAAGGTGGTATGCTAAGACTTATGTAGGGTGAAAGATGACTGTGCAAGGTTCTCTTGGACAAATTCAGGACCAAAATTGGACCTTTGGCCCCAATAGCATCCCACTGTCTTCTTCAAAAAGAACAGGTGTGACCATTCAGGGCCTGTAAGTAGTGTAGGGATTAAATGAAAATAAGTGTCACACATGCTGACCTTCAGCTTCCTCCAAGGATGCTCCACCCCTGCTCTACCTCTTTCAGACCTTGCTCTACCCGTCCCTGAAAGTTTCCCTCCTTCCCCAACTTTTCCCGCTTCCTCCCCCGAGCACACCCAGCCCATGCTCCACCTCTTCCCACTCCCATTCCTCTCCTTCAGCACCTCTCACCTGCCACCAAAAAGCTGATTTGAAAATCACTCCCTGAAAGCTGGGAGGGTGGGTGAGGAGCTGGGGGCTTGTGGCCCTGAGCCCCCACTAATTTTTTTCTATGAGTGCTGCAGCCCTGGAACATCCACAGAGTTAGCTCCTATGATAAGGATGCAGAGTTGTTAGCACTCCAGGAAGTGTTCGGAGGACGCTCCCTCCCGCCTTTGGGGAATAAATGGGCTAATTTTATTAATTACTATAAATACCTAGCTACAGTTTTGTAATGTGTTTTTTGCTGATTTTAATTAAACCTCAGCACCATGAACTGTGCTATATTCTGCATAGTTAATGGAATGTTTGTATAAGTTAGCAAAATCATCACAGTCCATAAGCTACAGCAGTGATACATGCTTGAAACATGGGCTGCTGTACAGTCATTAGGAGATGTGTTTCTTTAAAGAAAATTAATTTTCAGCGCCCCCTCCCTCAAAGTCAGACTCCCTGGTTCATTTGTACTCTGTATCCATCTACAGATTCACACAGATAATCAGCGTTTTGTTGGGAGGGGGCAGCCAAAACCTTTGGATATGATAACATGCCATTCCTCTATACCAGGGGTGTCCAAACTTTTTTCAAAGAGGGCCAGATTTGATGAAGTGAGCATGCGTGAGGGCCGACCATTTTGCCTGACATTCTTTGAACCATTAAAATTAAATGCAAATTAACTATTTTATGCCAAGTTTATTGCAAACGGAATACTTTTCATTTCGTCACATGGATGACAAATCTAAACAGGTGTTAAATCACTTTGCCTTTCTTATCTGAAGGCCAGATGAAAAAAAAATCCAGGAAGCTGAAATATATGTCAGGAACATTGTAAAGTACATTACATATTATTGGTAATAAAGGTTGTCTGTCAACTTTTAAGTTAAAAAAATATGAACAGGAACATAACACCAAGTATACATGTTGTGTCCAAATATATTTATAACTGATTTAGACCAACTGACATTAACTGAGATTTTACAATGTATTCATATCAATACATATGGATTAGTTGGGGGCCATAAAAGATAGATATTGCCAAATTACCTGGGGGGCCGTATTAAACCGGAACACGGGCCGCAATTGGCCCAGGGGCCGGACTTTGGACATGCCTGCTCTATACATTTCAGATTTGGAGTACAGTTAAACTAATCTGATCTGAAATGTGGATCATAGAGTACACCCCAAGTCTGTAAATGTCAGCATGTTCTATAGAATGTGTGTACCAATGTATAGGGAAACTAAAGTTTTCTTGTAAGATTTTATAGGCCCCTTATCTATGCTGAGAATTTTGAATGCGATTTGCCAGCTCTTAGTTTGGTACTGGTGCAGTGCATTTTTTTATTACCACTGCTTCGGGCAAGGTTAGACAACAGAGTAGTATAAATGCCCTGCACATATTTCTAGACACTGTTAGGAAAAGCTGCTGAAACTTTTCCGTGTAGACACAACCAGCAAGCTACTGCAATGGATTTGATATCATCACGTATCAGCTTTGAGATTATCAAATGTAAAACCTAAGGCATTTTACTGTAATTTATCATTAATTAATCAACACTTATTGTGTCACCATTAGGTCTTTATATTGAGAAAAATGAAAATATCTATATTCTAAATTAACCGGATTTGCAAACAATCAAAATGCTACTGTCCCTTAATTTTAATTCAAAGGGTGACAAATTTGTGGATCATTTGCTATTGTTCCCTCTCCTGCCCCTTCTAAACACACAAACCAAAAATTGCAGTCCTAAGAGGTTTATAATTTCAATAGGTCCTCGTCCTTTTGTGACAGGAGCTGGGAATTTTCTATTTAAATGTAGTCCAACATTTTATTGAGTATTCTTCAGAAAAGTCTCAATGAGCTGTGGGCAGTAAAACTTTATAACCTATTTTTTCTGTTTTTTTTTTTTTTTTTTTTTAAATCAGATTCCTGTTGCTGGGGACTGCTTCTGTATCCATGCTTTCACAACCCTTATCTAGGCCAGGAATTGCAGTTTGTTTCTAAATCAATTAAATCAGTTAAATCAGTGCTGTTTCTGTGCATTGATTAGACTCGACATGGACTGCATTGGGTATTTTCCATATGTAGTCTCTCATACTTACACTTAGTAGCATGCTTGAAACAGTTAAGTAAAATGGAGAATTTCTGTTAGTAACTGCTATTGAATTGTTCTTGGATAATCTTCCCCACATCAGATGGGATAAGTGTAATCCATTCTTTGGTTAATGGACCCAAATGCTTTCCATGACTGTTTTAAATCTACATGGTGTCTCTAAGAGCTGCATTTTGTGTTTGGCTCTTGGGTTAGCTGAAAGATGTGCAGTGAAAGACACTGGACAGTAATCTGTTTGGCTCCAGATCTGTTGATTCAGCAAGGGTATGGAATAAGCTGAATGTGAAAGCAGTGCAAAAACTCCAGCATGTGCAGGATACTGCTGCCTGTCTCCTCCACTATGGGCATATCACCATGGTGCCCTTGTCCCTGCACTGGCTCCAGCTGCTGGTTCTATGACTTGATCCTGTTCTACAAAGATATTAGTGGATACTAATGGATATTAGTGGATATTAGTGGATACTAGCTACTTGAGGCCATATCTACACTAGGAAATTATTTCAAAATTACTAAATTCGATTTAACTCCCAGTTTAACAAAATTGAACTAGTGTGTCCATGCTATGGGGAAGCCTCAAAATTAGTCTGAGGCAGACTCCATTAATGAGGACATGCTAACTCGGGCTTAGAGCCCCAGGAAACAATTACTCTGGGGAGTAGTTACTTCAGAATAGTAGTTACCAGAGCATCCACATGACCACTATTTCCAAATAACTATTTCGAAATTAGCGTTACTCCTGATAAAAAGTACAGATTTCAAATTAAACAGTCTGGTTTTTTTTCAAAATAATGGGCTTGTGGACGCTCTGCTTATAAGTGCGACCTAAGGGGGGTTATTTCGAAATATAGTCCTAATGTAGACCAGGGCTTAGAGATGACATCGCCATCTGAGAGCTGCCATGATAATTGTGCTCCTCTAGGCAGTGCAGGACAAAGCATGTGAGATAAGGTATTCTAAAGGAGGCCTTGGCCATGTAACAGTCTTGCACAAAAGACTAATCCAAAGTGTGATGGCTTTCAGGTCCTACTGCCAGGCCTTCCTCTCCGGATAGACCTTTTCCATCATAATCGGAATGACATTACAATACCGACAATCATGCTTGCCAAAAAATAAACCCCTCCCCAAAAGGAACTTTCCATAATCGGAGGAAATGAAATTCCATAATCAGATGTGATGAAATTTACTATCATGGTCAATTTAACATGCAGAGTACCTGGAAATTAACAATGCAGATTAAGCATTCAGAGATTTCTATTTCAGATGGTTGAGAAAAGTGAAGAATTTGTATCCTCTGACCCTGCACTAGCTAACTCTTTTAGTGTATGTGACTGTGTGAATCTGTGATTGCAATTACTGATCTGAAGTTCTGAGCCTTTGTGGAGAGCAGCAGAATCCTGACACACTAACCCTTTGTCTGTTGTCAGCTCTGAAAGAGATACACATAATAGGGATTAATGTATGTAACTATGGATTTGAGGACAGAGCTAAAGTATCTGTGTCAGGAAATGCTGTCTTCTGTTGTCCAACGGCTTACTGTGCCCATAATCCTGAAATGAAGAGGTGTCTGTGGGTTAGACCAAAGAAGATAACACTTCTTCTGAAAACCAAAACTAATACTTGCCTCCATGTTCAACAGGAAAGGGTTAGCCCCAGGTATATCAATTAACTAATCCAATCTTATCTGCCTCTGGGATACTGAGACTTTCTTCCATCAGTTGCAATTCATCTGATTGCCTACTTTTCCCCTGACAGGGCTCCTTGTGGACCGTAATCAGCAAGGGTAATGGAAGTTAAAACTGCACCATGTTTCAGAAGGTTATAATTTCCTGTTCAGATTTTCTAGTTAGTGTATTTGCGCAGAAGAGGGAATCCATTCATTTTTGTACTCCTCTTCTTACACAGGGCACTTGGTGCAAAGTAATCCTTTTATCTTTTATTCATAGTGGTCACCATTAAAATGTCTGTACATGTCCTCATCAGTTTTACAAAGGACTGCTTCCTGAGACGCTGTAGTTTCCCCATATACTTAGAATAGGAACTTTGTGATAACTGGTCAACGTTCATTCTTTATTTAATAGCCTCTGCCATAGTTAGATTAAGCATGGGCCAGATGGCCCATCCCCCCTTGGATCTGGAAAGCCTGGCACAGTGGAACTACTGCTGTGCTGCTGGCTGAAGAGGTAGGTTGAGAAGTAGCTGCACACTAGGACTGCATACTCCCTGCAGGCATGTGTGGAAAGTCTCTCTCTGGAGCAGTGTGAGGAAAGGAGCTTGGGGTTGCATTGGAGACCCAGTCACCACATGGATCCAAAAGTTTCTGATTCCCCTGTGTCGGGAGCCCCCATGGAGCTTGTCTGCTAATGCAGCCATGGGCTGTAGAAGTGACATGTCCATGCAGCCTCTCCACAAGCTGTAGGGGTTGTAGGCAATGATTCCATTTCCACCTGCCAACTCTTCGTAGCTGTCCTGCACAAAGCCCTTCTCTTATGACTTTGTAGAGGAGGTCCAGGGAAGCATGTAGCCATACAGAAGGCTGAACATATTGTTAAATATGACCAGTGAGTGAATTAGTCTTAATTTATAAGACAAAAATGGTTGTTTACATGTTTTTCAGAATCAGTAAATCTGAGGAGTTGTATTTTGGTTTTAATTTTCCAGGGATACCTACAAATGATCCCAATGCCGTGGTGATAGGACTAGCTCCTGAACACTCGAACTATCAGATGATGAATGAAGCATTTCGGTAAGTTGTGAGAAGAGCTCCCTCACTGGATCAGACCATGGACCATCTTGCCCAGTACAGGCAGTCCCCGGGTTACGTACAAGATAGGGACTGTAGGTTTGTTCTTAAGTTGAATCTGTATGTAAGTCGGACCTGGCATCCAGATTCAGCCGCTGAATCTGGACACCAGTTCTGACTTACATACAGATTCAACTTAAGAACCCCAGGCGTCCCCAAGTCAGCTGCTGCTGAAACTGATCAGCAGCTGATTCCAGGAAGCCCGGGGCAGAGCAACTCTGCCTCGGGCTTCCTGTAGTCAGCCGCTGGTCAGTTTCAGCAGCGGCTAACTTGGGGACGCCTGGGGCAGAGCAGCTCGGGTGCTGCTGGGTTGGTCCAGTAGCGCGGCCGCTCCTCGGCGCTACTGGACCAACCCAGCAGCACCCGAGCTGCTCTGCCCCAGGCGTCCCCAAGTTAGCCGCTGCTGAAACTGACCAGCGGCTGACTACAGGAAGCCCGAGGCAGAGTTGCTCTGCCCCGGGCTTCCTGGAATCAGCTGCTGATCAGTTTCAGCAGCAGCTGACTTGGGGACGCCTGGGGTTCTTAAGTTGAATCTGTATGTAAGTCGGACCTGGCATCCAGATTCAGCCGCTGAATCTGGACACCAGTTCTGACTTACATACAGATTCAACTTAAGAACCCCAGGCGTCCCCAAGTCAGCTGCTGCTGAAACTGATCAGCAGCGGCTGAATCAGGACTCCTGGGGCAGAGTAGCTGGGGTGCTGCCAGGGTGGTCCAGTAGCGCCAAGGAGCGGTGCTGTGGGACAAACCAGCAGCGCCCCACCTGCTCTACCACAGGGGCTTTGCTCCCCGTCTCCCTGGTCTGCTGGCTCCCGCAGCAGACCAGAGAGACGGGGAGCAGCTTTTCTCGCCCCGGAGGAGGCGGGCGGCAGGACCAGGCGGCCCGCCGCTCCAGTCCTCCGGGGCGAGAAAATCCCCGTTCGTATCTGCGGATCCGACATAAGTCGGATCCGCGTAACTCGGGGACTGCCTGTATCCTGTCTCCGACTGTGGCATGTACCAAAGGGTCATGGGGATTGTGTAGAACAGAGCAGTTAGGCCTGGTCTACACTAGGGTATAATTTCGAATTAAGATACGCAAGTCAGCTACCTTAATTGCGTAGCTTGAGTCAAAGCATCTTAAATTGAATTTTGGCGCCATCCACGCTGTGGGAAGTTGAAGGGAGCACACTTCTCCTTTCGACTTTCCTTACTCGTCATAGGAGCTGGATTACTGGCATTGACGGGGGCACCCTCTCAGTTCAGATTCGTGTGTCTTCACTTGACCCACTCATTCAAACTCTGGAAGATCGACTGCAGCTGCATCGATCTTAGCTGTAGTGTAGACATGGCTTTAGGGAGGGTTCCACCCCTGTCTTCCACTCCAGTTTCTGGTAGCCAGAAGTAAAGTATTGTATTATAGCAGCACCTAAGACTCCAGCTGCTTGGCACTGTACCAATATGACATCTTTGCTCTGAAGATGTTACCATCTAATTTAGGACTAGACACAGCCAGTGTGAGGAATTATAGGCAGGAAGGGAAATGTGAGGCACCAGAAGAAGAATGCTTAGTTACTTAGATGAGTCTCCAAGTGTCTTTCTCTGATGTCATTGGAGTAATATGGAGGGACAGCCATCAGGCTTGCTTGGTCTGGAGGCTTAACTACATATTTATTTTAGCATGTAATTAAACGGGTTTCACAACCTGCAATTAATCTGTAAAACTATTTTTGCAGGATGCTGTTGAGCACAAGAAGCGAGCAAGATTCCAAAAGGGATTAGATATTTGTATGAGTTATAAGAATATTCAGAATTAATACTTTTTGGAGCCTCAATAGTCAGGATTTAAAATAATCTATAATTGTTAGGGATTGCAGATCTAAAATGAGGTACAGATTCCTTCCCCTCCTCACCCAATCCTCCAGCATCTTCCTAATATGGGATTTCTTGCACTTTCCTCTGAAACATCTGCTACTGGCCACAGTGGAAAAAGAATTTTGGAAAACGTAGGTCCTTGTGTCTGATCCAGGCTGGTGGTTCCTATGCTATATCAAGGAGTAGTGTTTAGAGACAAAACCACTAGATTACTGGAGTTACAGCGTGGTTAAAACAAGTGATTGCATTTGAGTTTTTCAGTGGCTTGTGCAGTGCCATTTGACCTACCCATAGAAGCATAAAATACGACAAATGGAAGGGACATCGAGAGGTCATCAAGTCCAGTCCCCTGCCCTCACTGGAAGACCAAGCATCATCTAGATCAGGGGTGGGCAATAATTTTTGACTCAGGGGTCACACCAAGATTTTGGAAAATGGTTGAGGCCCGTACTCTTCCCGTACTGGAGTGCAGGGGTTTGGGATGTGACCTAGCATAGGAGGGGATTGTGATCTGGGGCAGGAGATTGGGGTGACAGATCTGGGAGGGAGTACGGGTGTAAGGGGGGGACAGAGGGTTTGGGTATGTTGAGTGGGGGGAGGGGGTAGAGATTTAGGAAAGGAAAGGGCTGGTACCAGAAGCAGGCTGTAGCCAAGAGACTTACTTGCCAGCTGCCAAACTAGCCTACGTGCCTGCAGAGCTTAAAATGTTTCCCAGCCAGCCTGCTTGCCTGGCTATGTGCATCATGAATAACGGAGCTCAGGACAGGGGGTGTGATTCTTCTTAGCTGCCTGTTAGTTCAACAAGCAGCTCCCATTGGCCGCTTTCCATTGACCTGGAGGGGGCAATGTCCCTTCCCTGCATAAGGCCCCCTCTCTGAGAGCCCATTGAAGCCTCTGTCTCATTTTCTACTTCCTACTCTGCTTTGAAACATGTGGCTTTTCGATGGATATCTACCAGTCTCTGCTCTGCCACAATTGTTTATTTGGAAATGAAAAAAAAAAATCTTTAAAACAACTGAATTGAAACAGAATATCAGAGGTGGTATCTTCAGCTGGAAACTGGCAGGATCTTATCTGCATGCCAAGCTCCATGTAATAAAAACACTTATTGACCCGACACTTACTTTCTGGCTACCTCATTAGTGCACTTCACTAGCGGCATTGGGTTTAGAGCTTTGCAGTGCAGTCATGGGTAGGTTTTAATTTCCCCTCTGCACAAAGTTAACCTGTCACATATTCCCACTCCTGCTTCATAGAATCATAGAATAATAGGACTGGAAGGGACCTCGAGAGGTCATCGAGTCCAGCCCCCCGCCCTCAAGGCAGGATCAAGCTCCGTCTACACCATCCCTGACAGATGTCTATCTAACCTGTTCTTAAATATCTCCAGAGAGGGAGATTCCACCACCTCCCTTGGCAATTTATTCCAATATTTGACCACCCTGACAGTTAGGAATGTTTTCCTAATGTCCAATCTAAACCTCCCCTGCTGCACTTTAAGCCCATTACTCCATGTCCTGTCCTCAGAAACCAAGAGGAACAAATTTTCTCCTTCCTCCTTGTGACACCCTTTTAGATATTTGAAAACCACTATCATGTCCCCCCTTAATCTTCTTTTTTCCAAACTAAACAAGCCCAGTTCATGAAGCCTGGCTTCATAGGCTTCTCTAGACCTTTAATCATTCTTGTCGCTCTTCTCTGTACCCTTTCCAATTTCTCCACATCTTTCTTGAAATGTGGCGCCCAGAACTGGACACAGTACTCCAGCTGAGGCCTAACTAGCGCAGAGTAGAGCGGCAGAATGACTTCACGAGTTTTGCTTACAACACACCTGTTAATACAACCTAGAATCATATTTGCTTTTTTTGCAACAGCATCACACTGTTGACTCATATTCAACTTGTGGTCCACTATGACCCCTAGATCCCTTTCCGCCATGCTCCTTCCTAGACAGTCGCTTCCCATCTTGTATGTATGGAACTGATTGTTCCTTCCTAAGTGGAGCACTTTGCATTTCTCTCTATTAAACCTCATCCTGTTTACCTCCGACCATTTCTCTAACTTGCTAAGGTCATTTTGAATTATGTCCCTATCCTCCAAAGAAGTCGCAACCCCACCCAGTTTGGTATCATCTGCAAACTTAATAAGAGTACTCTCTATCCCAATATCTACATCATTGATGAAGATATTGAACAGTACGGGTCCCAAAACAGACCCTTGAGGAACTCCACTTGTTATCCCTTTCCAGCAGGATTTAGAACCGTTAACAACAACTCTCTGACTACGGTTATCCAGCCAATTATGCACCCACCTTATCGTGGCCCTATCTAAGTTATATTTGCCTAGTTTATCAATAAGAATATCATGCGAGACCGTATCAAATGCCTTACTAAAGTCTAGGTATATGACATCCACCGCTTCTCCCTTATCCACAAGGCTCGTTATCTTATCAAAGAAAGCTATCAGATTAGTTTGGCATGACTTGTTCTTCACAAACCCATGCTGGCTATTCCCTATCACTTTATTACCTTCCAAGTGTTTGCATATGATTTCCTTAATTACCTGCTCCATTATCTTCCCTGGGACAGACGTTAAACTGACCGGTCTATAATTTCCTGGGTTGTTCTTATTCCCCTTTTTATAGATGGGCACAATATTTGCCCTTTTCCAGTCTTCTGGAATCTCCCCTGTCTGCCATGATTTTTCAAAGATCATAGCTAAAGGCTCAGATACCTCCTCTATCAGCTCCTTGAGTATCCTGGGATGCATTTCATCAGGACCTGGTGACTTGCTGACATCTAACTTTCCTAAGTGATTTTTAACTTGTTCTTTGTGTATCCTATCTTCTAAACTTACCCTCTCTCTGCTTGTATTCACTACGTTAGGCACACCTCCAGACTTCTCGGTGAAGACCGAAACAAAGAAGTCATTGAGCATCTCCGCCATTTCCAAGTTCCCTGTTACTGCTTCTCCCTCCTCACTAAGCAGTGGGCCTACCCTGTCCTTGGTCTTCCTCTTGCTTTTAATGTATTTATAAAAGGTCTTCTTGTTTCCCTTTATGCCTGTAGCTAGTTTGATCTCATTTTGTG